CTTTGACCAGGGKKCKKTTTGACCAGGGWCCACTTTGARCAGGYACRKCTTTGARCAGGGKKCKCTTTGARCAGGGWCCACTTTGARCAGGGACCACTTTGARCAGGGACCACTTTGARRAGGGACCACTTTGACCAGGGACCACTTTGACCAGGGACCACTTTGACTAGGYACCACTTTGACCAGGGACCACTTTGACCAGGGACCACTTTGACCAGGGACCACTTTGACCAGAGCCCCCTTTGACCAGGGACCACTTTGATCAGGGACCACTTTGACCAGGAACCCCTTTGACCAGGGACCACTTTGACCAGAGACCACGTTAACCAGGGCCCACTTGACCAGGAACCATTTGACCAGGGACTACTTGACCAGAGACCACTTTGACCAGGGACCGTTCTCCAACATTAATACCCAAAGGGTTATTTGGTCAACTTTAGATTCAGTTTGAGGTGCTGATTCTGACAATTGCATTGGATAGACCACATCAGCTCTAATTTCTGATACAGAACTTACGTCATGGTCAGCAACAGGGAAGGAGTGGCAGGTGGCATGAAAGGAGCGAATATAAAATAAAATAAAGAGAAAGGTGGCTCGCGGACCAGATTTCCGTCCTCGCGGCCCACTGGTATTCCATGGCCCACAGGTTAGGAACCACGATGCTACAGGAATGGAACTAAAAGTTTTACTTCTTCGTCCTCTGTCCTTTCCAGATGAAGACACCACAACGAGGAACTGGCTGCTGGCCTTCTTCTTCCTGATTCTCCCTCTATTATTGAGTGTCGTTTTCTGCTATTTAATGCGGAATCGTTTGGGGTATTCCTTAAGGCCACTAATAGAGAGTTGTTGCGGGTGAGTATTTCCCCCAGTTCTAAAAATGGACCAGAAATTCAAGAATAACAGAGGCTTTGTCGGAGCCTTTGATCCTCCTACGGCTCTGTCTATTGCAATCCAAAACAGCTCAAAGGCTGTAGTCTCGGTGTGTATGCAAAAGGCATACTCTGTTCTAGGAATTTTCAACTTTGGAAAGTACTTACGGGGTTGCTGAGCATTGTCTGTCCTTTGTCTGTCTATTCAGATGTTTCAGCAGATCGCGTCACAGGAGGCAAGAGCCGGTTGGCTCTGAGTTCCCACCGAACGTGCCATACCCGCCCATGGATACATCATCCCAAATGGTAGGAGCTTCTCTGTATTTTTTTAAAATAAGGAAAAACGAACAGGTCTTGGTGAAGGATTTCCTGAATGCTACCAACCATTAGAGCAGAGCTTTCCAAATTTTTCATGTTGGTAACACACTTATTAAACATGCATCCTTTCGCAACATAATAGCAAACCGGAAGTTAAACCAACCCCTTGTAAGAGTTTACTACAAAATATAGGACTAGCCGTCCCTTGCCACGCGTTGCAGTGGCCCACTTTGGTGGTCATGGGCGTTTTGTGTGGGAGGTTTTGCCCAATTGTATCATTGGTGGGGTTCAGAATGCTCTGTGATTGTAGGTGAACTATAAATCTCAGCAACTACAACTCCCAAATGTCAAGATTCTATTTTCCCCAAACTCCGCCAATGTTCACATTTGGACATATTGAGTATTTGTGTAGAGTTTGGTCCAGATCCATCATTGTTTGAGTCCACGGTGATCTCTGGATGTAGGTGAACTACAACTCCAAAACCAAAGGACACTGCCCACCAAACCCTTCCAGTATTTTCTGTTGGTCATGAGAGAACCGTGTGCCAAGTCTGGTTCAATTCCATCGTTGGTGGGGTTCAGAATGCTCTTTGATTGTAGGTGAACTATAAATCCCAGCAACTGCAACTCCGAAATGACAAAATCATTTTTTTTGAGTGAAGGACATACATTGGGTTGTTAGGTGTCTTGTGTCCAAATTTGGTGTCCATTCGTCCAGTGGTTTTTGAGTTGTGTTAATCCCACAAACGAACATTACATTGTTATTTATATAGATATAATACATATAAGTTTCATATAATCTTTACTTTATAAACGAAGTTTGAACATTTTCCTTTTACACTTCGTATGTATTAAATATTTATTTATTTATTATCAAAAGCATTTCATACCTTAGTATAAAACAGATGAAAAAAGGAGCACAAGCGGCTAAATATCTTTTAAACAAAAACGGGCAACAGTGACTGCGTTGTCTGTAGCCTCAAACAATTCTTCCTCTCTGCGTGAGGCAGGACATTGCGGACAATCATACGAATGCGGAGTTGTCTGTTCTGCTCCACAATCACACAAATTAGAGGACTCTTCTAGACTGTGCTATTTTGCCAGATTGTCTTTTAATCTGCTCACTCTGCTTCTGAGATTGGGAAAGGCGTACGGCAGGGTTGTATCCTCTCCCCCAACCTATTCCATTTGTAGGCAGAACACATCATGGGATGTGCGGGGCTTGAGGAATGCAAAGCTGGGTGAAAATTGCTGGAAGAAACATTAACAACCTCAGATATGCAGATGACACCACTCTGATGGCCGAAAGCGAGGAGGAGCTGAGGAGCCTTCTAATCAAGGTGAAAGAAGAAAGCGCAAAAGCTGGGTTGCAGCTAAACGTAAAAAAAAAACCAAGATTATGGCAACAAGAATGATTGACAACTGGAAAATAGAGGGAGAAAATGTGGAGGCCGACAGACTTTGTATTTCTAGGCGCAAAGATTACTGCAGATGCAGACTGTGGCCAGGAAATCAGAAGACGCTTACTTCTTGGGAGGAGAGCAATGTCCAGTCTCGATAAAATAGTAAAGAGTAGAGACATCAGACTGGCAACAAAGATCCATTGCCTAGTCAAAGCCATGGTATTCCCTGTAGTCACCTACGGATGTGAGAGCTGGACCTTAGGGAAGGCTGAGCGAAGGAAGAGATGCTTTTGAGCTGTGGTGTTGGAGGAAAGTGCTGAGAGTGCCTTGGACTGCGAGAAGATCCAACCAGTCCATCCTCCAGGAAAAAAAGCCCGGCTGCTCATTGGAGGGAAGGAGACTAGAGGCCAAGATGAAGCCCTTTGGCCACATCATGAGAAGACAGCCAAGCCTAGAGAAAGGAATGATGCTGGGGAAAGTGGAAGGCAAAAGGAAGAGGGCCGACCAAGGGCAAGATGGATGGATGATGTCCTTGAAGTGACTGGTTTGACCTTGAAGGAGCAGAGGGTGCCGTGGTCTGGTCCATGAGATCACGAAGAGTTGGAAAGGACTGAATGAATGAACAACAACAACAATTCTGCTTCTGAGTCTTTCCAGGGACTTCCAAGTTGCTCATTCTTTGCCCCTTGGGGAAGACCCTTGTGGGGGGGGGGCATCCAATTGGGATTTTTTCCCCGGGTTTAGCTGCCCAGAGGGTTACTCTTGCTGTTGTTGGGGGAATTTTAAGAGGAGTGGTGGTTCTCATGAAGCTTTCCCTTGATTTGTGTCTACTGGGAGGAGACTGATAGCGATGCAGTGGGTGGCTTTCACAGTGTTCCAACCTTATTTCTCTCACAGTTAGCAGCAACTTCCCATCACACATCGGGGGCTAGCAATGCCAGGCGTAGGTCTGAGACATCCTGTGATTATTCTGCATGTTTTGTTCATTGCTATGTTACCTGGTTCGGGTGGGCAGGCTTGTGCCAAACAGGGCAGGCGTACTTGGCAGTTAAGACAAGGCCAGGGCTGAAGTTCTTATTAATTTTGGGTCTGCCAGTAAGTTTCCGCAGGATGTTATTGCATGCAGCTACTTTGTGCTTGGTGTTCCTGCAGTGTTTCCTAAAGGGTCGTGTTTGATCTGAGATTTTATTTCTTTTATTTATCGTGTCAGGCAACTGAACAGTTGTATTACATTTTTAACAGAACACACAAACAAACATACAAAAGACACAGAGTTTGCAAGCTTGGTAGTTGATTAAATGTCCTTTGACCAGTAGCTGACCACTTGGAGTGCCTCTGGTCTTTCTATAAGAAGGTCCTCCATTGTGCATGTGGCAGGGCTCAGACTGCATTGTAATAGGTGATCTGTGGTTTCCTCTTCTCCACACTCACATGTTGTGGATTCCACTTTGTGGCCCCATTTCTTAAGGTTGGCTCTGGATCTCGTGGTGCCAGAGCGCAGTCTGTTCAGCGCCTTCCAAGTCACTGTGTGCCCAGGAGGGAGTCTCTCATTTGGTATCAGCCATTGGTTGAGGTTCTGGGTTTGAGCCTGCCACTTTTGGACTCTCACTTGCTGAGATGTTCCAACGAGTATAGATCTTAGAAAACTATTTATTGATTTAAGTTATTGACGTGCTGGCTGATACCCAAACAAGGGATGAGCTGGAGATGTCTCTGCCTTGGTCCTTTCACTATTGGCTGCTACTTCCCGGCAGATGTCAGGTGGTGCAATACCGACTAAGCAGTGTAATTTCTCCAGTGGTGTAGGGCACAGACACCCCGTGATAATGTAGCATGTCTCATTAAGAGTCACATCCACTGTTTTAGCATGGTGAGATGTGTTCCACACTGGGCATGCGTACTCAGCAGCAGAGTAGCATAGTACAAGGGCAGATGTCTTCACTGTGTCTGGTTGTGATCCCCAGGTTGTGCCAGTCAGCTTTCGTATGATATAGTTTCTAGCACCCACTTTTTGCTTGATGTTCAGGCAGTGCTTCTTGTAGGTCAGAGCACGGTCCAGAGTGACTCCCAGGGATTTGGGTGCGCTGCAATGCTCCAGTGGGATTCTTTTCTTCCCAGGTAATAATCCTCAGAGATTGGGATGCTTGTCTGTTCTTGATATGAAAGGCACATGCCTGTGTTTTAGATGGGTTGGGGATCAGCTGGTTTTCCCTGTAATAGGCAGTAAGAGCACCTAGAGCTTCGAAGAGCTTCTGTTCAACCATCTCAAAGCTCCATGCTTGAGCTGTAATGGCACGATCTTCAGCATAGATGAAGCTCTCTGTCCCTTCTGGCAGTGGCTGGTCATTTGTGTAGATGTTGAACATGGATGGAGCAAGCACGCTCCCCTGAGGCAGGCCGTTCTTCTGTTTCCGCCATCTGCTTCTCTGGCCCTGGAACTCAACAAAAAAGCTCCTGTTTTGTAGCAGGTTTCCTATGAGGCAGGTGAGGTGGTCGTCCTTTGTGACTCTGAGATGACACCAAGATACTTAGGATAGAAACAGTGTTCAGGCTCTTTGGCCTTCCCAGGCACTAAAGTTGATTCTTGTGTAGTTTCCTCTATAGCCGCTCCATGTGGTTCATCACAAACATAGTTGTCAACAGATTTTATTTTCTGAATTAGAAACGTATCCATATTTAGGGGTAATTGTTTTATTAATACATTTTTGCTTCCTGGTTTTCTCCCAGAACATGCAGACGAAGAGATATCCTGTGCCATCTTACACAGCCAATCAACAACCATATGGTGAACATTTCTACTACGCACCTCCTCATTCTTCTCCAAGATCGGCGGCACTGCCCACCGAACAGCATTACATCCCATCAAGGTTGGTAATAACACTGGAAAAAGACATAGATAAAAGAACGTGAATTCATCCATCCATAATTTTAGTTATCATCTCTGACTCGCAGAGTTTTTGGAGCATGCCACAGAGGTTCTCCATTTCTCTCATTGCATTTCCATTGATCTGTTAAATGCGCTAAAGTGGCATATGTTGTTTCTGGCCTGAATTCACCTTTGCACCCAACACTACACAAGAGTCCAGTATTACTAACTAAACAGATGATTGAAGAAAGAAAATATAAAAATGGTAAAAAAGTGAAAGGCAATACAAAAAGCAATGTCCCAAAAAAGGAATAGGAAAAAAGGCTATTAAAAGGCAATAGTCCATAAATCAGAGTTCTGTTCCAAAAGGGACAAAGGACATGGAACATCAGGAGTCAAAACATAAACATAAATCCATAACCAGGAACATGGGAACTTCTTCCAAAACATGAATCCATGAACATGAATACAAAAATTTACCAAAGAACTTAAAGATAGACTTGAATGTAAAACAAGACCAAGATGTACATGGCAACGCAGCGTTGCCTGTTCTAACCCTTTTAGTCAACAATGCTTTAATTTGAGGAGCAGGCCATGATGTCATGCCTTTGACACCTGCTCTGTTGCTTCAAGGATTTCTTACAGAGTCTCTGTGACCTCCATAATCTGGTTCCCTCCTCCCGGAGACCCGAGCCTCAAACTCCTACTGACCTCAGGTGTGATCCCAGGGAAAAGATCTCTGCCTTCCAGCTCCTTATCTTCCGATGCCACCACATCTCTCTTACCAGACACAGATCCATTCTTCCAGCAGAATCATGATCTAAAATCCCCTCATTTCCCACCTCTGATAGAACAATCTCATCTTTAGCTCTGGCTGAACTACAATACTGGGAAACAAAGTTTTATGTGTATGAGGGAAGGGAAGGACAAAGAGAGCCATCTTGCTATGGAGACAGTCTTTCTCAGAGCTCGAGAAGGGAGAAAGTAGGTGGACAGTAGGGCTGGGCGGTTTTGTTCGTTAATTTCGTAATTCGTTAATAATTCGTATTTAAAGTGGCTTACAATCCGATATTGAACCATTCAGGAGCAACTAAAAATCGAAACGAATTTTTAAAATTTATTTCGTAATTGTTTTGAAATTGTTTCAAAATTGTTTCGTAATTATTTTGTTATTATTTCTGTATGTCTGGTGCAAGTTTTATAGTTGTTGTTTGTTTTATCAGTGATTAAAAAAATAAATTATCACACCAACAGTCAACAACAGAGGGAGAGGGAAGCTTCAGAAGTTCCCCCTGTCCCATTTGGAGGGTTTTTTAGCGTATTGCGCAATCGCGTCCGCCATTAACGAATCAATTCGTTATTGTTTCGAAATTGTTTCGTAATTTCTGAAATTTTGTAAATATCGAACTTTTTAAAAGAAATTTTTTGGAATTCTTTTAAAAAACGAAACGCAAAAACCCCCTAAAAACGAATCGAGTTTAGAAACAAATTTTTCCGTGGTTGCCCAGCCCTCGTGGACAGAGGTTCCAGTGACACCAGGGCAACACTTTTGGAGCATGTAAGGAATCAGTGAGTGTGTGTGTGTCAACTGTAAAATAAGATGCATGAAGCTGATTGGCCAAGCTATGCCCAGGGAGCAGGCTTGGCATGGGACTTTTGGATACTGTTACATTTTTGTTCAGGTTTCAGTTATGTAAGTGCTTGGAACAGCAGAGAGAGAGAGAGTTTGGAGTGTGTTCTTGCTTCATGAACTGCTGAAGGAGTTTATCTACATGGACAAAGAAAGACAATTTCATATCTCTCATAAAAGGACATTATATGAGTTGATACAAGTGATCACATTGCAAATATGTTGTTCTGAACTACGAAGAGTGAACTATTTGTTATTCATTGTTCATCTGCATGGCATATTTTCTTTCTCTGGCAAGGCAGTGTTTGGGCTGATCAAACCAGAACTACTTGTGGTTTATTTACATTAGGCCACAACTTTGCATACATGTTAGTTCAAATTAAAAAAACAAAGGCCAAACGATTGATTCTTTATGTTCTTTGCAGGCCTCCCCCGCCGGCGATGAAGCCTCCAAAAACTCAGGAACCCTTGATCCCTTCTCGCCCTGCGCCTTTGCCGCCCAAATAACTTCCCGTCTTCTGCCTTTCACGAGCTGCCCTCCTTGCTGGGACAAAGCTGCGTTGGTCTCGCATCAAGCGGCCCTTGAAACCCTTCCTTTTCCCCCTCAGCACTGGATAAGGAAAAAAAGCAAAGCAAAACATAAAAGAATTTTTTTTTTGCAAAACCAAGGAATGTAAACTTATCAAGCAAAATACCTCTACCAAAGCTGCAGGAAGCGAAACCACCGAGGCTGTGAAAACTCTCTGTCCAAACTGCAGTGGGGTTGCGCTGCTGGAAAAGCAGATCGGCCTCAAATATAGCAATCTTTTGGACGTCGCGATGTCGCCCTTCCTTTCTATATGTTTGAATGATCAATATTCCTTATATGGATTCCCTTCCGACCCAGGCTGTCTTCCGTTGGCAATGTAAGGTTGAGTGAAGACAGGCATAGCATGGTTAGTTTGATCAGGGGACCAGGCGTTTCAGCCATGTCGAGCTTATTGAAAATTTTCTGCATGTGGCAATGGATCGCTGCGTTTTAATGGCGTCCGTTTGCGTCCCCAAATTACTCACTCATTGGGATCAATCTTGCACTTTTAAATATTAATAAGACAAACAACGGACTTTCCAAAGTTAACGTGTTGCACTTTAAAGCGGAAAAGTATGGCAAGACTGATTGCAAGACTTGCATTCGATTTGCTGGTGGGTACATCTGTCCGTTGCTCAAATAAATCAAGTTGAGGGCTCTCTTTCAAAAACATATGTTATACCTGTCTTCACTTGGAACTGCATCAAGATAAACCTCAATTTAGGTTGGGCCAGGAAGAGAAAAAGGTTGGAGTTCTAATTGCAAACAGTAAGGAAAACTACGAGGTTTACCCGGAAAGTAAAGTTACAAGATTTTTTTTAAATACAGAGAATGAATATATTTTAATCAAACTGACATGGATGGTAGCACAGGTATTGCATTATTTTTCCACATTGTCACCAGTCAGTTCAATACATTTTGTCATCTGCAGGACAAGTTTTGGATGCCTGTGTCATAGAAGTTTCCCTCCACCTTTTTCAGCCAGTTTGTCACTTTGATTTTCCCTTTGTCGTCATCGGAAAAGTGTTTTCCACCCAGGTGTTCCTTCAATTGAGTGAGCAGATGATAGTCACTGGGTGTGAAATTGGGGCTGTGAGAGGGGTGGCTTAAAACATCCCAACCAAATGAAGTCAGCAACTCTTGTGCTGCATGAGCGGTGTGCGGACACGCACTGTCATGAAAGAGACAGACTCCCGCCATCATCATCCCATGACGTTTGTTTTGGATGGCTCTGAAGTTTCTTCATGGTCTCACAATATATTCTGTAGGGGTTTCCAGTGGCGCAATAGGTTAAACCTTTGTGCCGGCAGGACTGAAGATCAACAGGTCTGAGAATTGAATCTGGGGAGTGTGGATGAGCTCTCTCTGTCAGCTCCAGCTCCCCATGCGGGGACATGAGAGAAGCCTCCCACAAGGATGGGAAAACATCAAACATCTGGGTGTCCCCTGGGCAACGTCCTTGCAGACGGCCAATTCTCTCACACCAGAAGCGACTTACTTTTTCTCAGGTCACTCCTGACACGAAGAAAAAAATCCGTACCCATTTTGTCACATGCTGTCTTAACATTACACCCTGTCCATAAACTGAAACGATTTCGGGATGAATCGCATCGGCCCGTAGCATTTAGGTAACATATTACAGTGCAGCTTCACACTTGGAGGGAAACAGAATGAGTAAGCTTATCTCTAACCTTCACCACACCAGTCGATGAGCTACTGACGATCGGCACTGCTCGTTCATTTCTGCTGGCTTCCCACTATATCAACTTCCCCCACGAAAATTCCCCGCGAGAGCTGCGTGCCTTGTAACCTTACTTTCTGGATAACCCTCGTATAATGCAAATCTATCTCTAACGGAGAAGTCCAGTGGAGTCAAGGTAAGTCTGTGCAGGATTGCAGATATACTTTATGGATTGGTCAAAAGATAATATGCCATTTATCTGTGTTTCCTTCCTGATGAAAAGATGGAGGGAAAGGAAAGACATTCAAAGAGGACATTTCCTAGAGTCTTCTAAAAATACTAAGCGAACCAGGGAGAGAAACCCTACGTTTCGTAAGATGAAATATTTCATAGTTAGTACGTTCTTAGGTTTTTAATGTATGAAACGGGAGCGTGCCCATAGCGATATTAACCCACTTTAAAACAAAGGCCATTTTTTACAGTGCTGACTGACACTAAACTGTAGTTAATAAAGGGCGTTAGATTGAACTTAACAATGTTTAGCTAACCAATAGAAGAGCAGCAGATTCTTCTCATTTACCACTAATGAACCGTTCTCCCGAAAAGTATGAAATCGTCCATTTTATTTTTTTTCTTTGGACAAGGCTAGCAGTGGAGCTGCTATCGGTTTACAAATGTTCTTTTGGATTTTTAAATTAAAGATGGAAGAAAAGGATTTCGCAACGGTTCACAGTTCTTTTGGATTTTCCAGGAAGCAAAGAGATTCCGGAAAACGCAACGACAACCAGAACTCAAGGATAAAATATACAAAGCACACATTTCATTCTGTTATATATTCCTTGGTGTCTCCATATATTGTTGGGGAGGAGGAAGAGGGTTTCTGTGTTTGGGAAAAGAAGCAATTTAAATGGGAATATTGCAAAGGTACCATGTGCACCCTTCATTCCATCCTAATCGTATTTGATATGTTGTTGAAGGCTTTCATGGCTGGAATCATTGGGCTGCTGTGAGTTTTCCAGGGTGTCTGGCCAGGTTCCAGAAGCACGCACTCCTGATGTTTGGCCCACATCTATGGCAGGCGTTCTCAGAGGTTGTGAGGTCTATTGGAAACGAGGAAAATGGGGTTTATACAGGTTGAGGCAGCATAATTTCCTTTTTTCAAAACTTAATAAAACCCATTGTATGTATCAGATATATATATATAATGTAGGTGCATACCTAAAGTTTTGTTTTACATAGTTTTGAAGATCAAATTAGGTAGGTGATGTACCCATTCTCCATACACTAAGTAAACCGATTTCTGGCATTTGTCATGACTCTTGCCAGTATAGCAGGCGTTATGTTGGCAATTTCTTCCTGGATGTTGGTCTTCCAATCATGTTGGGTCCTGGACAGTTCACATAACAAGGGGATTTCAAAAAACCCCTTGGAAAAAAATCAAAAGGGGCCAAATCTGGAGAGCGGGCTGGCCACTCCAAATCTGCTCGAAAAGTAGGCCTCAATGGCAAAAGCACGCTCCTCACTGTTCCAACACATGATGACAACTGAACTGTGTCAGGACAGAACTTTACACTCCTGCCTCTCAAATGAGAGCATTAGCGCTCTGCTATGTCTTCCACCGACTGAATGGCGTGCATTTTAAAAAAGGCATTTATGCTGCCTCACCCTGTATTTCTGTGGAATGATGTCCAGGGTGGGAGAAAAAAACTCTTGTCTGTTTGAGGAATGTGTGAATGTTGCAGTTGGTCACCTTGATTAGCAATGAATGGCCTTGCAGCTTCAAAGCCTGGCTGCTACCTGCCTGGGGGGAATCCTTTGTTGGAAGATGTCAACTGGCCCTGATTGTTTCCTGTCTGGAATTCCCCTGGTTTTTTGGGTGTTGCTCTTTATTTACTGTCCTAATTTTAGAGTTTTGTTTAATACTGGTAGCCAGATTTTGTTCACTTTCATGGTTTCCTCCTTTCTGTTGAAATTGTCCACATGCTTCTTGTGGGTTTCAATGGCTTCTCTGTGTAGCCTGACATGGTGGTTGTGGGAGTGGTCCAGCATTTCTGTGTTCTCCAATAAAATGCTGTGTCCAGGCGGGTTCCTCAGGTGCTCTGCTATGGCTGACTCCTCTGGTTGATTTGTCTGTAGTGCCTTTCGTGTTCCTTCATTCGTATTTGGGCAATGCTGCATTTGGTGGTCCCTCTGTAGACTTGTCTACAGCTCCATCATATACGGTACACTCCTGCTGAGGTGAGAGGATCCCTCTCGTCGTAGCATTTGTTGCATTTTCTTAGTGGCTCAGTAGATCATTTGTAGGTTGTGTTTCTTCATCAGCTTCCCTCTGTGGTCAGTGGTTCCCTTGATGTATGGTAAGAACCCTTTCCCTCTGGGCGGATCTTTTGTCTTGACTGTGTTGTTGTAGGTTTTTTCGGGCTGTATGGCCATGGTCTAGAGACATTCTCTCCTGACATTTCGCCTGCATTTTGTCTTGACTCTCGTGGCTTCTTCTCGGTTGTCTTGCAGCTCTTCTGATGTCTGAGGTGGTCTCCATTGGCCTGGAGAGCCCAGTCGAGGTGGTTCAGTTCCTCTTGGAGGAGGAGGCGGGCTTCGCAGATTGTTTTTGCAGACACTGCCAGGGCTTTGATTGTGCTTTTTTGACTTGGGTGATGGTTGGAGTTTTTATGTAGGTATCTATCCGTTTTGCATCTAGAACATGCAAATGTGAGTACATCAATAGGTACCACTTTGGTGGGACGGTAACGGCGCTCCATGCAGTCATGCTGGCCACATGACCTTGGAAGTGTCTACAACGCCAGTTCTTTGGCTTAGAAATAGAGATGAGCACTACCCTCCAGAGTTGGACACAACTAGACTTAACGTCAAGGGGAAACATTTACCGTGTGGGTACGTTTTCTGTAAACTGTGTGCCCCAATTGTTGATTGGGTTTGCAGATGACGCGGTCATTTTAAAAAGGCAGTTTTCCTTCATTTTCCTTTTCCACGATGAATTGGATGTTTGGGTGGATGCCAATTGCAACATTCACACTTGCCTCCAGCATTCAAGAGTTCTTTCTCCCACCCTGGACATCATTCCACAGATAGATAGATAGATAGATAGATAGATAGATAGATAGATAGATAGATAGATAGACAGACAGACAGACAGACAGACAGACAGACAGACACAAACACGACTAGCTTAGCTTCCAAATAGACCTCACAACGTATTGTCGAAGACTTTCATGGCTGGAATCACTGGGTTGTTGTGGGTTTTTTCAGGCTATATGGCCATGCTCTAGAGCAAGGATCCTCAAACTAAGGCCCGGGGGCCGGATACGGCCCTCCAAGGTCATTTACCCGGCCCTCGCTCAGGGTCAACTTAAGTCTGAAAGGACTTCAAAGCACACAACAACAATCCTATCTCATCAGCCAAAAGGAGGTCCACACTTCCCATTGAAATACTAATAAGTTTATATTTGTTAAAATTGTTCTTCGTTTTAATTATTGTATTGTTTTAAAGTGTTTTTTGCACTACAAATAAGGTATGTGGAGCGTGCATAGGAATTCATTCATTTTTTTT